ATACACGTGTCGATAATGGTAGGAAAGGAAAGAAAAATCATCTCAGAGTAGAAAGGGCTATTCTAAGTTTTGAGTAAAACACGGAAGCCATCTAAAAAACCGATAAAACTAATTGCATAAGAATTTTTAAATTGCAGGAGAGAAAACATCATAAACCAAGTCGAAAGACAAACAACAATATGGGAAACACATTTCCTATTCATATATCAGAGAAAGGGCTAATTTACTTAATATCCAAAGAGCTCCCACAAGTTAAGATCAATAACAGCAACATAACAGAAAATGAGCAAAGGATACAGAGGGACAACTGAAAGAAATATACATGGTTCTTAAATGTGAAAACATGCTCGGCCCCATTTAAAATGAGATAAAACAAATTTCATGGCCATATATCATTTTTTATATTGGAAAAAATGGAAACCATTGATGTTCCCGCTACGGGTTGGTGAGGGTGTGGGCAGACCACCCAGATGACTTGCTGCTGCTGGGCTGGGGATGGTTCCACAGCTTTGGCTGGCAGTTTGCTGCTATGCATCAAAATTCAAAATCTCATGCCTTTGAGCCTGAATCACTAGGCTGACATCCTGTAGATACTCCTGGGTGGATACACGGTATGTGCAAAGGTATCACAGCCATGAGATTGTCCAGACAGTGGGAGACAGACTCTAGGGTGGCCCCACATCCCTCACTTCCTGGTGGTCATTGGCTGTGTGCCCCACACCCCTTGAGTGTGGGTGGGCCTGTGACATGTGTATAGACACAAGGAGCACAGAGACGGTGATGGGACGTGCATGATCCCATTACGTAAGGTCGTAATGCTCATCTTGGGAGGAATCTGTCTCCCTGGCTGGCTGTGAAGAAGCCAGCACATTGTGAGCTGCCCAGTGAGGCCACATGGAAAGAGATGGTGGCAGCCTCCGGTTGACAGCTGGTGAGAAACTGAGGCACTTAGTCCAAGAAGCTGCAAGTAACTGAGTTCTGCTAACAATCACATGAGCTTGGAAGTGGATCCTTCTCCAATTGAACCTTCAGATGAGACACTCTGATACGGCCCTACAGAGACCCCAATTTAACTGTGCCTGGACTCCTGACCCACAGAAACTGAGATGATAAATGTGTGTTATTTGAACCCACTAAGCTTGTGGTACTTCATTACATGCAATGGAAAATGAACACACAGACCAACATGGAATTCTATGCAGCTGTAAACAAGAGAGAGATCATGATGTATGCATAGGAAACGAGCTCCATGTTTACAAAAACATAGTAGGTAGAGTATGACATAATTTGTATTTTAAAAATTTATGTATACAGAGGCATTATATGTATGTATGTGTATGTACATATCTGTTGACAATATGCATAACGGAACGAGGTGATGTTTTGCTTTCCTGTCTCAGCTCGCATATGGTAAACAGGTGTCCTTGTTACGTTCTCCTCAGTGCCGCGCGTTCCTCCGATGCTGCGATCTTGTTGTTTAAAGTGTCCCAATACAGTGCTGCTGTGCTGCTCGGTGTCCGGAGCTCAGAAGGCTCCAGCACGTCTTACAGAGAAAACACATGTGTTCAACCAACTTCATTCAGGCTCTATGGGGCCGTTGGCTGTGAGTTCAGTGTTGATAAATCAACTATATAGATTCAATAAGGTGTCTTTAGACGGAAGCACTCATAAGACATGTCTATGCATTGATTGGTTGATGAGAATGTTGTGATCAGAGGCTCATGAGACCATAACCCTGTGCTTCTTCCTGTAGGAGCACTGGTTCAGTATTTGGTTATTCGGTGCTGGTGGAGACTTTATAGAACAGAACCTCTGGGAATAATGAGAAGGAGTTGTGTGTGTGTGTGTGTGTGTGTGTGTGCATATGTGGAAGAGGCAGACAGTTGTGTGTGTGTGTGCATACACGGAAGAGGCAGACAGAGAGAGACAGACAGAGACAGAGAGAGACAGAGAGAAAGAGAATAAATGGGTGAAAGTAGCTGCTTCCTGAGAGGAGAATTGAGTGACTGCTTGTGTTCACTTAAAAAAATCACAATCTGGCCAGGTGCAATGGCTCAGGCCTGTAATCCTAGCATGTTTGGGAGGCCAAGGTAGGTGGATCACTTGAGGTCAGGAGTTTGAGACTAGCCTGGTTTCACCAACATGGTGAAACCCTGTCTCTACTAAAAATACAAAAATTAGCCAGGCATGGTGGCTTATGCCTGTAATCCCAGCTACTCAGGAGACTGAGGCAGGAGAATTGCTGGAACCGGGTGGTGGAGGCTGCAGTGAGCTGAGATCGTACCACTGCACTCCAGCCTGGGCAACAGATTGAGACTCCATCTCAAAAAAATCACAGATCTGTAAGTTTGGAAAAAAAGAGGAGACTTTGTTTCTTCTACAGGGGCACAGCCTGCAAGAAGGCCATCCTGCAGGCTGGGAAGCACAGCTCTGGCCAAGACCAGGGCCAGGAGGAGGCGCTTCAGAGCGGGAGGGGCTGGGGCAGGAGCTCCATGCTGACCAGGTTGGCTAAATACACGTGTGCAATAGGTTATGGAGGAATAGTGAATATTCATGAAGGAGGAACCGAACAAACATGCATGTAACATACAACCTGTTTTCACTCTGGGGTTCTGAGAAACACGCTCACCCGTCCAAATCCAAAGAATGGAAGTAGAGGCGTGAGGAACAGTGAAAGTGAGATGCTAATGACGATCTTACAAGACTAGGTGTCTGATGGGCAGGCACACCCAGCACAGTTTCAACAGGCAATTTATCCCCTAGCATGCAGGTGCCTCCCCCGTTCCTCGCAGCCTGAGTCCTGTGGGGTCGCAGTCTTCCTGGACGTCACCTAGGTTTCATTATCCCCTTATAAGGTTACAGCTTGTCCCCTTCCCCACTTTACGTTTTGATTTCTCAATGGCAAAAGCTTCTTTCCTTTTATGGGTTAACCGTCCCCCACTTTTTCTTCCTCCCCTCTGACTTCTGTGAGTCTTATCACTCTTCCCAGATGTCTGTACCGTGTGGCTTGTCACATCTGCAGGGAGCTGCCTGGACTTGCCAGGGCCTGTTTTCTGAATATGGACCACTTAAAATGTACTTCTTGGCCGGGCGCAGTGGCTCACGCCTGTAATCCCAGTGCTTTAGGAGGCCGAGGTGGGTGGATCACAAGGTCAGGAGATTGAGACCATCCTGGCTAACACGGTGAAATCCCATCTCTACTAAAAATACAAAAAATTAGCCAGGCGTGGTGGCGGGCACCTGTAGTCCCAGCTACTCGGGAGGCTGAGGCAGGAGAATGGCGTGAACCTGGGAGGCGGAGCTTGCAGTGAGCCCAGATCGCGCCACTGCACTCCAGCCTGGGAGACAGAGCGAGACTCCGTATTAAAAAAAAAAAAAAAAAAAAAAAAGGACTTCCTGTAGGGTGGAATCTTAACACGTCAGTGTGTCTCAATGAGGCTGTAAACCTCGGAGGTCTTCTCAGGACACAAAGGCACTCAAGAGGCAGCTTCTGTAAATCGGCTGGAGCCGGTCCACGGTCTGGGTCCCTTATCAGGAGGAGGCTCCTGAAGTCTGTCTCCCGCCCAATCAGAGCTGTGGTCACGGCTGTGGGACGTGGTCAGTTGGTGTCTGCAGGTGTATGGGCCGTGGTCGTTTGAATCTTGCTCATCCTCATGGCGGGGCCAGTGCGTGTTTAGCCGCTGGAGAAAAAGCAGCAGCTGTGGTGTGAGAGCAGAGTCCGTCCTCTCAGTGTAGGGTACTCAGCTCGACCCTTGCCTGGTGTGGCCTGAGGTCCTGTTTGTAATTTGATATCTTGTTGTCACAGAGTCTGTTCTGTGGGTCTTACCGTCTCTATTTTAACTTTAATACGGGGCAGTGTTGGTGTCTAAACCCTAAAGGGAGGGGGTGTAACGCGGTGTGTCTGACCTCCCTCCCTGTCATGGCCAGGAACACAGTGTTTCAGGGGTCCCCGTGGCCAAGATGGGGTCCATTTAGTCAGTTGAGGGGCTTCAGCTTTATGTTTGGTTTACACTGGCAATAAGGTTGCAGTGAGATCAATGTCCCTTGGACCCATTTTGTGTCTTCTGTGCGGGTTCTTTGGACAGATGTCCCTTAATTTTAAGGTGGTGACACTAAGAGGCCTGGCACAGGGCTTGGAAGACAGGGCTGGGAAATGGGCCCCGCAGGAGGCTGGGTGGGGACTGACGGGCTGCCTCGGAGAAGCAGAGCACACAGAGGAGCCACCCCAGGCGGGGACAAGGGCTGCTGACCGCCGCCGCTCAGCATAGTTACACTGCAGGTTCAGAACCCAAAACCACAGCCCAGGAGCATGTCATGCTGTCCAAGCAGGGAGGGGCCGAGCCCACCGTCCTTGCCTGGAACACACAGGTCCTGCTGCCTCCGAAACACAAGGACAAGGTGGGCACGAAACAGGGCAGGAGGTGCAGGGGCTGTGGGGATGAGAAGTCGTCCAGAGCTCAGAGGCAAGAGGTCTGGGCACAGGTACAGCTGCCCCCGCATGGCCCCGGGCAGGTCAATGAAGGCTGCTGGGAACCAGGTTGTCCCTCAGAAGATGGCCACAGTCCTGCGTCCCATGATGGGGGAAAGACCACGCTGCATGAGGAGTTTCCACCACAAGAACACTTCCTAAGGTCGGCTGCCCGCAGAGGGACTCTGTGTCCCGGGGCTGCTGGGGCCAGGACTGGACAATGCCCCTGCCTGCGGCTTTCCCAGCTGCCAGAACCCAGCTGGGACCAGGCCCACCCCAGCTCCTGCCCCCAGGGATCCACGTGGGATGGGACACAGCCCAGATGTGATGGGAGATTTATGAGCTGGGCCGCATCATAGGCAAACAAACACCCCTAATCCCGGCAGACTCCAGCTCTCAGCAACACGGAAGGGGAAGCTGTGGGCCCGGCGACAACAAGGCCAGGGGGAATAAAAGCCCGAGAACCCCAGCACCTCACAGGCTCACTCCCTCATCCGCTCACTCCCTCACCCTCCGCCAGTTCAACCCCAGCATGGCCGCGTCCACCACGTCCGTCTGCTCCAGCAACATAGACTACTCCCGCTCTGCCTTCCTGGTTCCTGTGACTCTTGCTCCGACTCCTGGCAGGTGGACGACTGCCCAGAGAGCTGCTGTGAGCCCCCCTGCTGCACCCCCAGCTGCTGCGCCCCGGCCCCCTGCCTGACCCTGGTCTGCACCCCAGTGAGCTGTGTGTCCAGCCCCTGCTGCCAGGCGGTCTGTGAGGCCAGCCCCTGCCAATCAGGCTGCACCAGCTCCTGCACACCCTCGTGCTGCCAGCAGTCTAGCTGCCAGCCAGCCTGCTGCACCTCCTCCCCCTGCCAGCAGTCCTGCTGCGTACCCGTCTGCTGCAAGCCTGTCTGCTGCAAGCCTGTGTGCTGTGTGCCCACCTGCTCTGGGGATTCTTCTTCATGCTGCCAGCAATCTAGCTGCCAGCCAGCCTGCTGCACCTCCTCCCCCTGCCAGCAGTCCTGCTGCGTACCCGTCTGCTGCAAGTCTGTATGCTGTGTGCCCACCTGTTCTGGGTCTTCCTCTTCATGCTGCCAGCAGTCTAGCTACCAGCCAGTTTGCTGCACCTCCTCTCCCTGCCAGCAGGCCTGCTGTGTGCCTGTCTGCTGCAAGTCTGTCTGCTGCAAGCCCGTCTGCTCTGGGGCTTCCACTTCATGCTGCCAGCAGTCTAGCTGCCAGCCGGCTTGCTGCACCACCTCCTGCTGCAGACCCTCCTCCTCTGTGTCCCTCCTCTGCTGCCCCGTGTGCAGGTCCACCTGCTGCGTGCCCGTCTCCTCCTGCCAGACCAGCTGCTGCTACCCGGCCTCCTGTGTGTCCCTCCTCTGCCGCCCCATGTGCTCCCGCCCGGCCTGCTACAGCCTCTGCTCTGGCCAGAAGTCCAGCTGCTGATGGCGCTGAATGTCATCCAGAGTCCCTTCCCACCTGGGGCTGACCTCCCAGCGGTCCCAGCCAGCTCCTCCCTCTCTGGCATTGACACCCTCAGAATATGGGGCAGGCTCTTTGTCTTAGGGACCAGGATGCTCCCCCAGTCCTTCCCAGATGCTGGCTGCATGGGGGACCCCAGCTGCTCCCCCAGACCCAAGTTCTGCAGAACTGACCCCAGCAGGCCTGGTTCCACCCTGGGCAGTGCCCCTCTGAGTTCTAATAAAGCCGCCTCTGTCTCACACCAACCTCTGTCCTGTCTGTGGACCCCCGGGGGGCACAGGGTGAGGTGGGAAGTGATGCCACCCCTGACTGCAGGGACAGTCCTGACCCCCAGCAGGCCTGGTTCCACCCTGGGCAGCACCCCTCTGAGTCCTAGTAAAGCTGCCTCTGTCTCTGTCGACCTTCGATCCTGTCTGTGGACCCCGAGGGGCGTGGGATGAGGCAGGAAGCAAGGCGCCTGGTGCTGGCCTCTGTGAACCCTGAAGGCCAGGCTCCCTCTTAGCCCCGTGGGCCCCCAGCCCCAGCACGTGGCGCCCCAGACCATCTTAGGGAAGCTGCCTCTGGAACCAAGGCCAGGAGTTTTGGGACAAAGTGGACCCTGGCAGCAGCTCTGGGCCCCTGAGCCACATTCACCCTCCCCAGCTCCATGGCTGTCCCCCAGGACTGGGGTAGCCCACCCGGGGCCTGGCTCCACCCAGCAGCCTCACCGGTCCTGTTACCCCTGGGGAGACCAGCTATGGACCACAGTGCCCGTCCCTGCAGCCCTCGTCTCCTCCACAGTAAGACGTGGGACAGCCCCTCCCCCAGGACTTGAGCCCAGAAGCCTGGGGTTCTTCATGGGGTTCTTGAATACCCATTGCTCAGGCATCGCTGGCGAGAGCACAGATGGGCAGGGACCATGACACCCACTAACCAAGCCTGCAGCCCCCTTACCCCATGCGGCCTCGCCTAGAGATTCAGGGTCCTGGTTCCCTCCTGGTCCCGTGGTCCTGAACTCTGACCCCGAGGACCCTGTCCCCACACGCCCAGCCTCCCAGGTCTCTCCCAAATAGCCCTTAGCTCTGCCTGCCACCTTCTGCTCTGGCACTCAGATATGGTACCGGATGCCGCGGTGGGCGAGTGTTACGAGCCGCCACACTCTTTCTGCCTGGTTGCTGTGCGCATTTAAGAGCCCAGGTCTGGCTACTGCCCCAGCAAATGACCCTTGCATGTCAATGCCAGAGGCCTCCAGCCCCAGCACCAGGACCTCCCGGAGTCCCACCCAACAGAGTTCACTGTGGTCAGCACAGCCACCTCCCTCACTCCTCTCGAGGCAGACCACCCAGGACAGCCAGCAGCAGCCATCTCCAGGGCCAGAGGCCAAACTGACACAGCCTTGTCCACCTCTTTAGAAGCAAAGCCAGGTCCCCATGAAGGGACATATGAGGGCCTCCAGGGACAGAGACGTTTGCTTCCTGCCCTGGTTCTCCGGGTAGCTGGCGGGGGCGGAGCCTTCATCCTAGGGCTCCAGGGCCATCCTGGGGAGGGGCTCCCCACATATGCATGTCTGAGTCCCACCCGCCTCACTGTGCCCACTGATGGCTACAGGGTCAGAACAGAGAGCCAGGAGGAGGGCCCGGGGCTGGCTCTCTGACCTCCTCCATGTTTGTCATTGTCCCCACCTGCCCTCGTCCGAGGCTCTGACAGGACCCAGCCTGTCTGGCCATCCCCAGGGAGGACACCGCCTGGTGTCCAGGTCTCACCTCTGACCCCTGCTCTGGGTCCTCATTCAATGTGTCTTCTGCTTCATCAGAGCTTCAACCCCCAGTGAAAGCACCTTGGGAAACCGTCCCTCAAAATGGTCACTCACGAAGTGACCCTGTGATCCTGCCACTCCAGTTCTAGGCGTCTACCCCAGAGGAATGAAACAAATGTCCACACACAGATCTGTGCACCCACGTACGCAGCACCGCTGACAGCAGCCAAAGACTGGTGTACCCATGTACACAGCATGACTAACAGTAGCCAAGAAGTGGAAAGAGCCTAAATGTCCATCAGAGGACAAAGCAAAACACAGCCCATCCACACAAGCAAAATGTGGCCCATTCCCTTGGGGAATATTATTCAACCATGAAAAGGAATCCAATACTGACACAGGCTACAACATGCATGAGCCTTGAAAGCATGATGCTCAGTGAGAGCCCACATGTGGTGACATTCTATTTGGGTTTTTTTATTTTATATTTTTATTTTATTTAGGTTATTGGGGAACAGGTGGTGTTTGGTTACATGGATTAGTAATTTCGTGGTGATTTGTGAGATTGTGGTGCACCCATCATTCGAGCAGTATACACTGCACCCTATTTGTAGTTTTTTATCCCTCACTCCTTTCCCACCATTTCCCCCTGAGTCCCCAAAGTCCATTGTGTCATTCTTATGCCTTTGTATCCTCATAGCTTAGCTCTCACTTATAAGTGAGAACATATGATGTTTGGTTTTCCATTCCTGAGTTACTTCACTTAGAATAATAATCTCTAATCTCATCCAGATCTCTGTGAATGCCATTAATTCATTTCTTTTTATTACTGAGTAGTATTCTATCAGTATATATATATATACAGATATCTATCTATCTATCTAGTTTCTTTATCCACTCATTGATTGATGGGAATTTGGGTTGGTTCCACATTTTTGCAATTGCGAATTGTGCTGCTGTAAACGTGTTGTGTAAGTATCTTTTTTGTATAATGACTTATTTTCCTCTGGGTAGATACCCAGTAGTGGATTTGCTGGATCAAATGGTAGTTCTACTTTTAGTTCTTTAAGGAATCTCCATACTGTTTTCCACAGTGGTTGTACTCGTTTAAATTCCCACCAGGAATGTAGAAGTGTTCCCTTGTCACCACATCCATGCCACCATCTATTATTTTTTGATTTTTTGATTATGGCCATTCTTGCAAGAGTAAGGTGGTATCCCATTGTGGTTTTGATTTGCATTTCCTTCATCATTAGTGATGTTGAGCTTTTTTCATATGTTTGTTGGCCATTTGTATATCTTCTTTTGAGAATTGTGTATTCACGTCCTTAGCCCACTTTTTGATGGGATTGTTTGTTTTTTTCTTGCTAATTTGTTTGAGTTTGTTGTAGGTTCTGGATATTAGTCCTTTGTCAGATGTATAGATTGTGAAGATTTTCTCCCCCTCTGTGGGTTGTCTGTTTGCTCTGATGACTGTTTCTTTAGCCATGCAAAAGTGCTTTAGTTTAATTAAGTCCCAGCTATTTATCTTTGTTTTTATTGTATTTGCTTTTGGGTTCTTGGTCATGAAATCCTTGCCTAAGCCAATGTCTAGAAGGGGTGTTTCAATGTTATCTTCTAGGATTTTTATAGTTTCAGGTCTTGGATTTAAGTCCTTGATCCATCTTGAGTTGATTTTTGTATAAGGTGAGAGACGAGGATCCAGTTTCATTCTCCTACCTGTGGCTTGCCAGTTATCCCAGCACCATTTGTTGAATAGAGTGTCCTTTCCTCACTTTACGTTTTTGTTTGCTTTGTCAAAGATCAGTTGGCTGTAAGTATTTGGGTTTATTTCTGGGTTCTCTATTCTGTTCCATTGGTCTATGTGCCTATTTTTATACCAATGCTGTTTTGGTGACTGTGGCTTTATAGTATAGTTTGAAATCAGGTAATGTGATTCCTCCAGATTTGTTCTTTTTGCTTAGTCTTGCTTTGGCTATGTGGTCCCTTTTTTGGTTCCATATGAATTATAGAATTTTTTTGTAATTTGGTGATGAATGATGGTGGTGTTTTGATGGGAATTGCATTGAATTGCTTTTGGCACTATAGTCATTTTCGCAATATTGATTCTACCTATCCATGAGCATGAGATGTGTTTCTGTTTGTTTGTTGTCTATGATTTCTTTTAGCAGTGCTTTGTAGTTTCCCTTGTAGAGGTCTTTCACCTCCTTGGTTAGGTATATTCCTGAGTATTTTATTTTTTTGCAGCTATTGTTAAAGGGATTGAGTTCTTGATTTGATTCTCAGCTTAGGTGCTGTTGGTGTATAGGAGATCTACTGATTTGTGTACATTAATTTTGTATCTGGAAACTTTGCTGAATTCTTTTATCAGTTCTAGGAGCTTTTTGGAGGAGTCTTTGGGGTTTTCTAGGTGTACAATCATATCATCAGCAAACAGTGACAGTTTGACTTCCTCTGAACTGATCTGGATGCCTTTTATTTCTTTCTCTTGTCTGATTGCTCTGGCTAGGACTTCCAGTACTATATTGAAGAGAAGAGGTGAGAGTGGGCATCCCTATCTTCTTCCAGTTCTCAGAGGGAGTGCTTTCAACTTCTCCCCACTCAGTGTTATGTTGGCTGTGGGTTTGTCATAGATGGCTTTTATTAGATTGAGGTATATCCCTTGGATGTTGATTTTGCTGAGAGTTTTAATCATAGAGATGCTGGATTTTGTCAAAAGCTTTTTCTGCATCTATTGAGATGATCATGTGATTTTTGTTTTTAATTCTGTTTATGTGGTGTATCATATTTGTTGAATTGTGAATGTTAAACCATCCCTGCATCCCTGGTATGAAACCTGGTGGGATTTTGTTTGTATGAAAGGCTCAGAATGGGCAAATCTACAGAGATTCTATTTGTACGAGAGGCTCAGAATGGGCAAATCTACAGAGAAAGAAAGTAGATGAGTAGGTGCCTGAGGCTGGGGGAGGGGAACATGGGGACTGATGCTGATTGGTGTGATTTTTTGGAGGGGTAATGTTTTAAAATTATATATTGGTGATGGCTGAGAAACACTGGGAATATGCTAAAAACAAGTGGAATATGTCCTTGCAGTAGGTGAGCTTCATGACTTGTGAATTTTCTCTTGGTAAATTTTTCTTTAAAAGCCTAAGCCCTATTTGGGCTGGCTACTCGCCAATGCCTCCATCTCCCCTTCATCCAAATAAAAATGAATGATGCCAGAACAGTG